CCTTTTCGCTCAGTTAAATGTATACTATGACTGATGCACTGAAATGGCCTCGTCTGTCCGTTTCTATCCCTCTGCGTTCATTGAAGTCTATTTGCTCTTAAAACCGAATGGATCCTGTGGTAGAAATTGTATCCTATGAAAATAGTACTTTATTTCGAGTCTAAATTATGTGCCATATTGTCTAGTTTTCAGGATAGGAAATGGGGAGAAGATAGTAAATATTCATGATCTTTTCTGTTTTTTTCTGTTAATCCATCCCAAATAATGTAAAGTTACTTATCGCAAATATTAATTCACCCCAAGAAATAATAATTTTAAATCAAAGTTTGTTTTTTTATTAAATTTTTTGCACACTTTTGAAATTATAAATTTTAAATCAAAATTTGTTTTTAGCTTAACTCGCAACCACTCCAACTCTGAGAATGAAAAATTACCAAAAACCAGGGAGTTATTCACATTTCGTAAGTGCGAATGATATTCGAGGTACTTACAATGAATTTTTACAATTAAAAAAAAAAGAAAAAAAATCTACTCTTGACTTGTTTATTGGTATGAACCCGATGTAGACCCCCGCGCTTAGAAATAATGCACCCGAGTCGCCCACATTTCAGCCTGTTGCAATGGTCAACCCAACCGGAGTAAATGGAAGGGTATCGCTCTGGGAGAATTTGGTGTGAATTTTAGTAAATATAATTTATTTTTATTATGGGGTGAATTAATATTTTGGGGTGAATTAACAGAAAAGATCCAATATTCAACAAGAAAAAACTTTATTCTAAGTTGTAAATTTTTCAGAAAATGGTCTGTCATCAATTTAAAGCACCATACGTCACAAATCAAGTTACAAATATTTCAAGAGAAATACAGTATATGTCGAAGACAGGGTTAAAATCATGTGACCAGTCTTTATTGCAGCTGGTATATTCGACGACTAAATGTTTAGAGACCAGTGTAACAACGCTCAAATCGAAATTCTCGGTTGATGTCAAGATTTTACAATCAAGGGAGAATATGCCGAGAAGATCAAGTAAAAAAAAAATTCAAGAACACAATTTTAATTAGACTGGTTTTTTCGGCACCAAAAGACCTTTTTGTTGGCTGGTAGATTTTTTAAAATTTTTTGTATTGTTGGTCATTTTATTATAATATGTATAGGTAATTTTACAATAAAAAACGTATTGTTGATCATTTTACTATGAAAATAGATTGCTGGTCAATTTACTATAAAAGTGTATTGTTGATCATTTTATTATAAAAATGTATTGGTAATTTTACAATAAAAATTAATTGTTGGTAATTTTGCTTTAAAAATGTATTGTTGGTAATTTTCTATAAAAGGTATTGTTGGAAAATTTACTATTAAAATGTACTGCTTATATTTGTTTTGGGGTCCACTATTTGCTACCACCAGCAATTAAGTGGTTGTCCCACGCTCCCCAAAAGCTCCAATATCCAGATCACAGGAATGGCTGCCAGATGTAATTTACCATCATATTCAAGACGGGATGTAGTTGTGATGATGGATGCACCCGTAGATTAGTCTAACGGAAAATGTTTTCAGGACCAACGCAGAATATGTCGCGATGATGGAATGAAAAAATTAGCGAGAATAATCTTTAATCCTGCCGGTACAGATGACATCAAAAGCGTCAGTCAGTTTTCTTGACTGGATACTCGCGGGAAGCTGGAGAACCAATCGGCCGAATTATAACAGTAATACGCAATAATGAAATCAGTAGTTCAAACACTTGTGATAATATCGTTCTAAAGACTCATGAAAACGCAAAACTAAACCTCTCATATGTAGAAATATTGTTTATTTATATCCGGACTTACTATCGATGAGCGGGTGTGTAGCTTGAGGCCTGTGAGTGTATGGGACCCCGAACATGTATCTCCTCGCGAGAATATGAGAAATTCTCTGTCTTCTCCGTTCAGGGTGGACACTTAAATATAGGGTTGCATATTTTAAACGTAGTTGGGTTGACCACCTGTTTATAAACCGGAAGCAGTAATTGACACACTATGAGGTGTGAATATACACCTAGCAGCTAGGATATCATTTTTCAGGCAAACCCTCCGATGCACCTGGTCACTTTGATGCTCTGGCGTGACACTCTGTGCAAAATCTACTTGGGTATTTTTTATGGTAGGCAAAGTATATACTGAGGTCACTGCATATAAATTTCTCTTTGAAAAAAAAAAACATTTTTTTTTTTCATTGTTTTTTGTGATATTAAATTCAGTTAAGACCGTTTGATATTTCCTGGAGAAAAAAAATCATATATTACTGAATTTCTTGGAATGATAATGAATCATCTCAGAATGACAGCAGTCCTGGGTATGACGATAAACTACATCTGGCAGCATGGCCTCTGATTGGGATACTGGAGGTTTTGAGTAGAGTGGAACCACATGTTGTTGTTTTCTCAGGTCCACCTTAACCCGAGGTGTAAGCACCTTTTAGGGTCCCAGCTATGGACAAATAGTGAAACCCCAAAGAAATCACTATGAAAGTATAAGAAATATATATTTTGTAGTAAAAAATACCAGCAATACATTTTCATATGAAAGTATACAATTGTGTTCAAAATATATTTAGTTGAATCCATAAAATTGTGTTCAGATTATTTATATTTTCGGCATTAAATAACCCATAGAGGTGTTGATATGCCGCTAAACAAAACCAACTAACCAATCACTCTGAGAATGAACCTCGTGTTTGGTCTGAGCTGAAACGTTGCACCTTCCTTCCTTTGAAATCAGAGTAAATAATAATCTCTTCATAATGCACCATATTTTTTTTAATGTGTTTAATCCCAAAGAATACGTATATATTTCGTAGCTTTCACTATTTCAAGCACGTTTCTCCCAACCGAAGACCACCTCCAATTACAGGTCAATCGAAATCCTTCGCCGACGCTTACCATTTTATTTTTGTTTAAATGCTGTTTGTATTTATTTGTTGTTTTTTTTTTATTTCTGTAATCTCCCAAGGTTCATTTTTGATTCCCGCCTCCGCCATATTAACTACAACACAACACAAGGCATCAACGCCGATACTGTAACAAAAAAGCTTGTTACTTCAACCGCAACGCCAGTCTTTCCTTACGGGTCACACACAACGACTTCCACCTGACGCAGCAAATCAAGCACAACTGATGTCACTCAACTGTCACTCAAACCATTTCTCGGACTAACGTTTGCCACTGACACTGAAAGATTACATCGAATGAATTGCAAGGTCTTCTGCTTGGAAAAAATTGTTCCCTGTGTTGTGCTAAACAATTTTCCCCTCCAGAATTTATCTTACATATTTATAAGTCTACCATTTGTCCATGCTTTGAATACTGCTGCCACAGCTTATCTGGGGCTCCCGCTATATATTTAGGTTCTTGATAAAATACAAAGCAGAATTTGAAAAGTTATTGCTTCTGACAGTATCTCGGCGTCAGTCACTTTCACACCAGCGTAAGTTAGATTCCGTCTGACTTTTCTATAAATACCTTCATTTTAATTGTTCTGATGAACTTTCCTCTGTGTTCCAGTTAGTACTTTCATAGAGACAACGAGGTATTATGGTGAATGTAATAAGAAAGGTAAGTAAGAATGCATTGTTTTGGTGTTAGGATTATTGTGGCATGTACGGGTCAGTGTTTGTGGCTACTTAAGATTTAAAATTAAGACAGACGAAGACCGCCCATTCCATATTTTGGCCTTGTGCCACATTTTTAATAAATTACAAATAAATATCACTTTGCTCTATGTGTTGCTTTGGTGTAGTCATTAGTGTCGTATATTTGGGTCAGTAATTGTGGCTAGGTAAGTTTAAGATACTTTGAAGACCTGCCTTTCTCCAATCCCCCTCCTTTGGCCTTGTGCCATATTTTTCTATTCTCAAAATAAATATTACTTTCCTCTATGGGAATTAAATTTTTAAAATTGTTATTTATATCCCCCCACAGACACATTGTACATATGGGGCCAAGTTAGAACATTCATAGAATCTCTTAGGTATTATGGCAGATGTAGTACGTATGGTAAGTAAGAATGTGTTATTTTTGTGTAAGAAATATTGCATTTTGTCTGGGTCAATGATTGTTGCTAGATAAGTTGAAGATAGATCGAAGACCAGCCTTCACCATCCCCACTTTTTGACCTTGTGCCACATTTTTGTATTATAACAAAATAAATATTATTTTCCTCTATGGTACCTAGACTTTATGAATTTAAACGCAATACCAGATTGGTGGTAAGCTCTCATCTGTTTGCAATTGAAATGGCTAGACATAACCGTAAGTTCTATGCTAACAGTTTCTTCTGTCGCACTTCTCGCTTGTGGAAATCTCTTCCAGCTCCTTGCTTCCCAGTCAACTTTGATCTTCAAAAATTTAAATGCAATGTCAATCGTTATCTACTGTCTTGTTAATTCTTGTTCTTTTAATTTTCTTTCTCCTTAATAACGTTTGTTTCTCATTTCTGTAGCATTCAGTCTTAGTAGCTTTATTGCCTTGCTTCGCTGGAAATTATTACAAACATCCTGATTTTTAGCTTGACAATTACGGCAGTTGACATTACACTTCCAGTAAATATTTGACTATTGAAAAATTTCAGTTTAAAATACTTTTCCCAGGTATTTTGTAGAAAGAACATTTATTAAATCCATCGCTCTGTAACTAAATGTAAGTCAATAAAAAGGTCAATTATTTTTTTAAATTATATTTTTGTCAAAATCTGTATATGAGCGCATGTTAATTCAATTTTTGTTGATCTGCCAACAAGTTATGGTAAGAACAAAACCAATTAGATTAATAATTCTAGGGAGTTTAGTCAGGTTTCTTTTGTGAAATTTAAGGAAAACCAGACATTGCGTCAAAACTGAGGTGGGTGAGTCCGGATCAAATCAATATTTTGAATAGACTGAAACTTCAGAATCAAAGAAATTCTATACACAATAGCTTTATGTATTTATGATGTAGCAGGAAAAATGGATAAGAAATTTAAAAAAAGAAGAAATGAAAGACATATATTAGAAAGAAAGAAAGAAAGAAAGAAAGAATGAAGTGGTTAGCGAAGAAAGTGTGGACAGAAAAAAAAAAAGATAGTAAAAAAGGAAGAAAGATAGAAAGTGAGAGAAAAAGATGGACAACAATGAAGTAAAGGAAGGAAGGAAGAAACAAACAAACAAAGGGAAAATTCCCGAAAAAGAAAAAAAGAATAACTGAGAAAATTCCGGGAAAGAAAGAAACGAAATTAAAAGAAAGAAAGAAAGAAAGAAAGAAAGAAAGGAAGGGAAAATTTCCGAAAAAGAAAAACTGAGAAAATTCCGGGAAAGAAAGAAACGAAAATAAAAGAAAGAAAGAAAGAAAGAAAGAAAGAAAGAAAGAATGAAAACAAAATTCTAAGAAAAGAAGAAAGAAAAAAAAATGGGAAAATCCCCAACAAAGAAAGAAAAACTGAGAAAGTAAGAAAGAAAAGATATGAAATACTCAGAAAGAAAGAAAGAAAGAAAGAAAGAAGAAAATGCTGAGAAAGAAGAAAATGCTGAGAAAGAAAGAAAGAAAGAATGAAAACAAAATTCTGAGAAAAGAAAAAAGAAAAAAAATGGGAAAATCCCCAACAAAGAAAGAAAAACTGAGAAAGTAAGAAAGAAAAGATATGAAATACTCAGAAAGAAAGAAAGAAAGAAAGAAAGAAAGAAGAAAATGCTGAGAAAGAAAGAAAGAAAGAAAGAAAGAAAGAAAGAAGAAAATGCTGAGAAAGAAAGAAAGAAAGAAAGAAAGAAAGAATGAAAACAAAATTCTAAGAAAAGAAGAAAGAAAAAAATGGGAAAATCCCCAACAAAGAAAGAAAAACTGAGAAATTAAGAAAGAAAAGATATGAAATACTAAGAAAGAAAGAAAGAAAGAAAGAAAGAAAGAAAGAAAGAAAGAAAGAAGAAAATGCTGAGAAAGAAAGAAAGAAAGAAGAAAATGCTGAGAAAGAAAGAAAGAAGAAAAGGCTGAGAAAGAAAGAAAGAAAGAAAGAAAGAAAGAAAGAAAGAAAGAAAAAACGAACGAACGAACGCGTAACCACCCCAAAAAAAAAAAAAAAAAATAAATAAATAAAATAAAATAAAACGAAAAGCTATTGAAATTTTTCTACTTACATCAAACACCTTAATGACATCGGCCAGAGAGCTCATTTGGTCTTGTAGGGCAATGATCAACGTAAAATTCCGCGTTGCATCCAAGCCCTCGGTTGGTGACTTGACATCGCCATTGGCAGCTTCCACTTCTTCCGAAATGCAAAGTTCACCTTGGCTAAGGCGTCGGCCCTCAACTCGCTCGAATTCGGCATTGGTGACAGTCTCGAACTTGGCATCTTCAATGAGACTTTTTCTTCTCCAGCTTCCACCATGCTGAAAGCAAAAATAAACACATTACCATTAAATCAAAATCGAACAGAAATGAGGAAGGATTATCGAAATGATATAGCTTCTAAAAAACAACAAGCAGACCAAGTGTGGAAATAAGTACAATATGGAAATGAAAACACAAATGAACAATAATGAACATCGCAACAAAGTGTAACACCTACGCATATATATATATATATATATATATATATATATATATATATATTGTTCTTTCATTTTTTTTCATTTTATTTTATTCTATTTAATATTTTTTATTATTATATATTCCCTTTTTTCCCCTTTTTTTCCTTTTCCTTTTCTCTTTCTTTTCATCACGCCATAGTCGAATCTTGAAAGACAGAACTATGGTTAGAAAGGCATAGATCCGTCTTTCAACGTTCGACCACATGGTCTACCAATTTTGACTACAACTTGCTACACGCAAGACGTCTTTCCCTGACTTATAACTCTCTTCATAAATGTTTACAATCTCACTCCCCAATGACACACGCTAGTAACATATATACCTCCCTAAAACTGTTACGCTGATAATAATTTTAAATTTAAGTTTATTTTCATAAAAAGTTTCGCACATTGAGAAATCAGACAAAGATCCGTTTTTTTGCTAATAATACGATTTCCACTGGAAAATACCCCGTCTACAAAAACATCTGTCGGTGACTAATTCCCATTTCTGTGTTTGTACTTTGTACTGTTGATAAAGGACACAGGCGTGTCCAAAAATTCCGAACATAAAACCTTTCTCTCCGTGCTTCATGTCTGTCATATAGATAATATTTAATAAATGTTTATCGTACGGATTGATTGGTAACCTTTTTGTCCTTGTTTTATTAACCACACTATTTTAAACACAAACACACACACACACACACACACACACACACACACACATATATATATATATATATATATACATTTAAAAATCGATAACAGAAAATGAACATGAAACAAAAATAGATAAACAATGAAATAAAATAAATAAACGAAAATAAGCAAAATAAATGATTTCAAACCAATATATAAGTAAATAACTAAGTCAATGATAAACAAATTAAGAAACCACGAACGCGGACATAAACACATGTAAGCATAATAATAACAATCAACAATAAAGTAATCAATAATAAAAAGTTAACAAACAAGATTAAAAATTGCCAAAAAAAAATGCATCCGGATCCACAATTAATTCCACCTAATTGATCTTCGAATAATTCGAAACATAAATGTTACCGCCCACCAAAATAACAATTAGAACAATACAATAGACTACCCAAAATGCATCAATGACCTGCACATAGTCGAGCAAATTTACAATGTATATAGCCTGACGATTACGTTTAGAATGAAACAGACTGTCGCCTCCGAGTGTTGACTTGTACCCCAACTCTCTCTCTCTATATATATATATATATGTATATATAAATAAAAAGAAAGAACTTGTATATATAAATAACTTGTACCCCAACTCTCTCTATATATATATGTATATATAAATAAAAAGAAAGAACAGAATATATATATATATATATATATATATATATAGGGAGAGAGAGAGAGAGAGAAATAGGAAAGAACACGTTAGGTAAATAAGCCAAAGTACTTTAGTATTTTTGTTTTTATTTTTAAAAAACAGTGCTCAATACAAAAGTAGAGCCTAAATTATAATTATTCTTTTTAAAAATATGATTCCTTTTCTACATAAGAGTTCTCATGTTTCAAAAACAGGAGCCCAAAATTTCAATATAATTATTAAAATTAAATTGAATTAAAGTATCAAGCTCTATTTCATCCTCAAGCGAAATTTTTGAAATAACTAATCTTGATGTTTACGCATCTTTATAAGCAGATTCATTCATAAAAATAATTACTATGGAAACGACTGAAGCGACCAGTCCAATAGGGGGGGTAAAGGTTAAAAATTTGTATCAACATATCAGTCACCCCCAGAAGGAGGCCAAACCAAGGTAGGGCCAGGGTGTCCATTTCAAAGCGAATGATGACACCCTTACGCTCACTATTGGACTGGTCGTTTCAACCGTTTCCATAGTAATTTAATTCTACGAAGGAATATGCTTATTAAGATGCGTAAACTTCAACATTAGTTATTCAAAAAAAAATTCACTTGAGGATGAAACGGAGCTTTTGGCTCTTGTTTTTGAAGCATGAGAACTCTAATGTAGCGAAGAAATCATATTTAAAAAATATATATATATATATAAGTAGTGATCAGTCATTGCCATCCTCGTATTCCATTGCTCCTTCATGTTTAAGTCTAAGCTAATAGGAATTGTCAGATAGCTAATTTCGACCGACTATCACGAATTTTAAACCTACATATGGCATATAAGACGCAGGGGAATTTTAAAAGATATTTTTAGTAAAAAAAATAAGTGCGCCTTATATGCTGTCAAATGCGGTAAATACATATTTTGATAATTTTGTAATTTTTATAAATTTTTTAATAAAAAAAATTTTTTAAATTTATTTCATAAAATGGCAAATAATAACTCTTTATAAAAGATAAATAATAAATATAGCCTTGGGTGCAATTTTTTTTTCAATCATTTCATACCAAGCAAGGTGGGAATGCCACTAGTACACAGGATGTTACAGGAAGTGAAGGCGAGAGAAAAGACTTACTATAGGGAGGATTGAAGAAAGCACAAAAGGTGAACAGGATTCAAGAAGATAGAAGATATCGATTGACGTTGCATTTAAATTTTTAAAGATTGTAGTTGTCAGGAAAGCAAGGAAACGGAAGGGAGTTCCACGGGTGGTAAGTGCGAGAAAAGAAACTGTTGGAGTAGAAGTAGAGGTTGCATTTAGCTTAATCGTAAAAGCAGTGGGGCTAAGATGCCAATTTAGTAGCACGCATGCACCAGACAATAAAAGCACGACAGAGCAGTTGCCATCTTTGTAGAAAAGACAGTTGGAATTCACCCCACGTCGGTGAGAAAGTGACTGAAGCCAAGATGCTAGATCAGGATCGATTACATTGCATACCCTTCTTAGGATTTTGTTAAAAACATCGAGATGGATAGCAGGAGCACTAGACCAGATAGGGCAGCAACAATATTCAATGTACGGACCCTTTTTTATTATCTTGTAAATAAACGTTGCGAGGGAATCAGTAGTGTATAGCAGTGTCAAGGGAATAACAGTCCTTTTGACATACCTTTTTTATTTTGCGGGTACGTAATTTAACTTGATCCAATATTTTTATCTGGATCCTGATGAGCGAAACATCACGTGACTTTGAGTCGATTCTTGATAAGTTTGCTGATTTTTTAATATTTTAATAGACTAATTATTGCTCTAGATATCTTTTGAGCACTAAATTGACAAAGATTTTGCTCACATGAGCATACGTTAAATTATATAAGTTTGTGTAAATCAATAGGAACTATTATTATTTTTATTTTTATTTTCTTTAATTTCTTGCGTTTACACATTTCTTTCCGGGTCCCGCCCAGGGACCTAAGGTTAGAAATGGCAGCATGACACTTTCCCCTGACAGAAAAAAAAAAAAAAAATTACATAGATAAAGCCCTTCGTAAAGTGTGGGCTGTTCTTGTCAGAACAATTTTTTGTATCTCCTTGAGGCATGGACTTCCAGGAATCCCTTCAATTAGTCTACTGCAATTTTTTCCAACCAGTCCTAGGGCTCCAACTACCACAGGAATTGTTGATGTTCCCATATGCCACATTTTCGAGATTTCTATTTCAAGGTCCTTGTATTTTGACAGCTTTTTGAATATCTTCAAAGATACATTGCAGTCAGCAGGGACTGCCATATCAATAAGGAGGCACCGTTTTTTTGTGGTCTTTAATAACAATTTATTATTATTATTATTATTATTATTATTATTATTATTATTATTATATACGAGGCTAGACCAATAAGTTCTTAGTTGGAACGTAACTATCAACTAAAATTTTGATATGACTTTTTCACTGTATATTATGCTATCTGTGATTTAAGATTGTCACTAAATAAGGTACATTGAAAAAAAGGATATTATGTTGAAAAATATTCTTTGTTGCGTGACATGTTTTTCATTGTTTCTCTGCAAAACGACTGATTTACATACACATGTACGAGGGTGCGTCTTATACTAAAACGTTTTTGCATGTGACATCACATTAAGGTGCTGCCAATATCTTTCATCGATTTCAACGCAGGATCCTTCACGAGATTCAAACCAAGGAGTGTCTCATGATAAAAATTGATGTTTTTGCCCGTGTGTCACCAGATCGATTTTTATTGATTTCCCAACAAATTTGAACGTGTTAATCATGATGTCATACAGGATATGCGCATATTTTAATTCTGGCGTTCATAAAAATGCTAGAATGGAGCCGAAGTTTTGTCTATGATAGCGAGAATATCTAGTTATTGATAATAATTAAGAGGGCCGAAATCAATTACATAAAAACAGAAAAAAAACATGGACATTGAAGAGTTTATCCATAATTTTAGTTTTGATGTGCAACAATTAACCAAAAATAGGAATAATACAATGAAAACTTAAGCAAACTGACCTTGGTTAAATTTAGCAAAACTTTTTTACACACACACACACACGCATATATATATATATATATATATATATATATATATATATATATATTATTATTATTATTATTATTATTATTATGAGGCAAATAAATGACGAAATGGAAAAAATCTGTATAACGCTTTTTGTCTTTTCAAGGACTTCATCAGAGTAATGTTTTGTTGATGGAATTATACAGGTGTAGGAAGT